ACCGGTGGTGTATCGGTCCAGTCTTGCAACATCAAAGCGAATACAGAGGCGTGCAATGCTATGCACGTCTATCAAATGTTCACAGAGCAAGTGCATCAGAGGTATAAAAAAAGCTGTCATCTGCAGCCTCCAGGTTTGGCAGAACTTCCACTCGGGTAGAGTCTGAAAGAACCGAATCATTCAAGATCCTTTCGACCAGAAAGTTGAGGAGGAAAGATATAGGACAACCTTGGCGAACCCCATGTATCGTGGGGAACTAAGGAGGCAGCTTTCCGTAGACTTTTACACGGAGTCGGGAGAAATGGCAGAGGTAATTCAGAATGGAAAGGAGTTTAGCTGGCATGCTTCTCATGGGTAGACAGTGCCACAAGCTGGCGCGGTCAATGGAGTCGAAAGCGGCTTTCAAGTCAAGGAAAACCACTATAGTCGGTCGTCTGTGTCGCTGCCCTAACACGTGGCGAAGAGTAAATATGTGGCCGATGCAACTATGGCCAGGGCGAAAGCCAGCCTGGCTTTCAATGATCTGGTTCTCACGAGGACCAGTAAGTCGTCGAAGAATGATACCCGTGAGAAGTTTGGAAACAACAAAAATAAGACTAATGCTTTGATGATTTTCGCACAAAGTACGCTGACCCCTCTTGAAGATGGACACGACAATCGATAGTCGCCAGTTTGAAGGCACTTCCAAATCGCGTTAAAAAGAGAAGCGAGTGCAGACAACAAAGAGTCACCATCATCTTTCAGCAAAGATGGGAGAAGGTCGTCCAGTCCAGGAGTCTTGTTTCGTTTCAACAATGCGAGCTCATGTCGAATCTCTTCCAAAGTGGGAGGTGTGACATCTACTTCTCACGTCGGTTCAGGTGATTAGGCAAGTGGCAGTGTCGCAGCAGGCCTGCTGTAATACTCTTCAAAATGCTCCGACCAATGGGCTAGTCGACGAGGCTGCGAATGTATCAACTGTCCATCTTTCTCAACTAGTCTCACTAAGTGATGGATTTCTCGGTCCCGTGTTCCGGATGAGCTGGAATAATAGTCGGCTGTTCCCAACAATACTGTATTTTTCCATCTCACGGGTCCTTGCCACCCACCAACGTTCCCGATCGATTCGAAGACTCCTTGTCAGTAATCGTTTCAGGACGTGAAGGACACGTCGAAACAGTAACCATCGGAAGCTGCTTGCGTGCTTCGATCAAACTGACAGATGCCTCAGGAACCCATTCACAGTTATGACCTCGCGAGATGAGTGTACAGCAGGCGTCAAGAGCATTCTCCATGGCGCACTTTGGACGATTGTAGTCAGTGTTAGGCACACCAACCTCATTCGTCACTGACAATTAGTGGGTCAGTTCGTTATGAGATTGTTGAACTGCGAATTCAAGTTACAGGTAAGGTTAGAAGTTAGGCGCCTGTCTGAAGCGGGAAGAGTGAGCCCCAGCTGTAATAATAATAATAATAATAATAATAATAATAATGTGTCAGCTGTATGTTGTAACGGTGCTTCGCTGCTGTGCGACCATCACCAGTCGCACGCGGACTGTATACCGCGAGGAGGCCCACCCCTTCGCGGATTCGAACCTGTGCCGCAAGATTATGAGACAACCTCGTAACCTCTAGGTTACGGGCTGACAGCTCCAGGTGTGCAAGCTCTAGAGCATGGTCGGAATCTAGGCACGTGCTCCAAATTTACTGACTGTCGTGGACTGATGTGCGCCATCGGTAGTTGATGGCGATGTGGTCAATTTGAATCCAGATCATTCAGGAATTCGGTGAGCGACATGCAATGCGGTGTGAATGTTTGTACTGGAAAGCAGTGCTGCTAAGATATTGGTTGGCGCAATTGCAGAATTGACCGCCATTGCCTGTTCGGCGTGCATCGACCCCGAAGTGGCTGTCCACGTGTTGTTCAGAGTCTGGAAGACGGCTTACTTAGGCACTTAAGTCCCCAGCAACAAGCAAGATCAGTATCTTTCGCTATGCGAAGAAAAGATGTGAGTTAAGTATATGAAATGTCTTTTATACCTTCCGAACTGCATTCAATAGGAGCATAAACGGAGGCGATGAAAAGGTGTTTATTAACTCCAGTAGAGGCTCGAAGTCGAACCGCAGCGGCTGTTCACCGGTATCCAGTCGAGTAGGTTTCTTTCAGCATGTTTGCTGAGGATGATACCAACACCGTAAATACCTTGAGCCATTGACTTAGTGTTGTCAGAGACGCGAAGAGTGTAGTCGACGGATTCGGAAAGAGCGAGTCGAAGATTCGTCACAAAGCTGTTATCTTGTATGCGTGTTTCGGAGACACAACACACATCATGACCAAGAGGGTGAATATTGAGAGCTAGTGCTGCCTGCTGGCCGATATGACCCAGGGTGCAGACGTTAAAAGAACCAAGGTGAAACGATACTCTGGATTTGGTGGAAGAACTACGTGCATCCATGGCAGTAGTTGCGGGGTCAGCGGCAGTGTGTTGCTCAACAAAAGGAGACGAAGGGAATGAGAACGAAGAGGATAACAAGTAAAAGATGAGGGAGTACGTTGACGAAGTCGAGAGGGCAGATGAGCCTCTCCGGCTGCCCATTCCATGAAAAGGCTTTGCTCGAGGTGTCCTACCTCTAGCCTTTGACTCAACAGCCTGACCCACAAGGAATTGGGGAGCGAGTCCAGCCCGGCAGTGTGATTGCAGAGACCCACTGGGATCTGATTCTGGCATGAAATTGCGGTCAGCAGCAGGTGGGAATTGACGAATTTGCACCAATTCGACCAGAGGCTGCCTGGCCTGTGGCGGGCTGTAACAAACCATTGAACATTGTAAGGTGCTCTCTTGTCGTCAGAGACAATGTGTGACGCTCGTGCTCTACCTTAATAGAGTTGTGAGCTTATAATCAGTAAAGCTGTCGTCTCACAAAGAGGATTGGATTGTGAGACTGAATTAGTATGACCCCAAACTACGGACCTGTCTGGTATGAGTGGCTCAAAAGGCACTTGGAAAGTGCCACCAGCGTAGCTCTATGGGCCACGGAGGTATACAAACCATCGCGAAGGCGGAAAAGTTGCACGATCTAGTCGTGCATTTACATCCCCAACGACCGGAAGTATAGTTGGTCCGAGACAATATCATGCTAAGTTCCAGGTAGAAGGCTTTTTTGCAGAATCGGAATTGTGGCCGGATACAGCGCAGATCGCGGTGACGGACAAACATGACTAGGTGCTGATTCACTGGTTGGCTTGGTAAGCGCTATCAAACAGTCTGAACATAAATGGCGCTTCACGGGAGCCCAAACAATCAGTGGAGATACAACCTTCGGATTAAAATTGGTGCGTCATCAAGCTTGACCTGCGGATGCTATTGTAGTATCTCCGGGGGTGTGCAATCAACAGCAAGAGGATACTTTAGCCTAGGGTCGCAGTAGCCATCTGAAGAGCGTGAATTCTAGTTTCGGAGAGGCAGCGCATGAAAAAAGAATATCCATAGCGTGAGTGGATAACAATGGTGGAATGAGAGCAGTGAACACCGGTAAGAAGTGTGTGGCGACCCAATAAAGAGTGATTATGGTAAGAGACTAGTTGTTAATGTGACGGTGGATGCAGATGGCAACATTTCAGTAGTACTACTACTACTACTACAGATACAGTAACTTACGTCGGCTCGAATAGTCAGGTTCGCAATGGTCAGCAAGATAGGCAATCTCACAAAAATGGGTGCCACCCCAGATAGAGCGCCTACTCTGGAGGATCGGTATACTGACTTCACATCGTATCCGGTTGTTGCCCGATCTGATGAGAACAGCAGTTAAAGTGCTAAGGGCAAACCCTACTGTAATTCAATGGATAAGATACGAGCAAACTGTCGCATAGTTTTGCGATAATCTCGTCAAGCCACTCATTTGGTTCGTGTATCTGTCCAGAAAAGTAACCACCGATAAAACGCGCGCCGGGGCTACAAAGCCGCAAGGCACAGTATCAGTTTGCCTCCTACATCACAAAGCAAATGAGATAAAACATTACGAAAGCTATGAGAGTTTAATACAAAGAAGCGATCAATGAAACGGAACACAACCTGAAATCACAAAGAAAAGCAAGAAACTATGGTTGACACTGCAAAAGATTAACAGATGTCTACCGAAATGATAATCAGTGCAAGAATTGCAGGTGCCACTGTACAAAAAAGATACTGCAGCGGCTAGAAGCAAGGAAAGATAAAACAAACCTGTAGTTAAGCTGACCTCATGTAGCTCAACGAATAAAATGGCTGGGGATGGATTTTAATTGTGGATACGCCGTCGGACTACTGCAAATCACTTTCCGCTGAGCTTCATATCCGATGATAAGGTCAATAGATCCAGTTAACTGGTAAAAAACTAGAAACAGCAAAAACTGCGCTACATAATACACTCCACTCTGTGGTGGTGTGCCAGTGTTGATTTTCCCGTTGTTCTAGGTCACCGGGAAAGACTTTCCCTCCAAACCTATTCTAAACTATTTTCTCATAATTAAAGGCGGTCAACTTGCAGATGCTTAAGTGGAATTACCAGAAATAATAAGGTTTCCCGTTTAACCAGTGCAAGGATGTTAAGATATTTTACTATTAAAGCTAAACAGACCACGACTAAGGATTACAAAAAAATGATACAAAATTCATAGTCATAGTACCTACGAAATCTGCCCGCTGCACTGCGACTGTAAATGTCGATAATGGCGGGAAACCGATGAGAGTAGGAAAAGAAGTGAGTATCAATGTGGAAGCATCCAAGTGGATTTGCAGGGTGAAAAAGAGACAGCTCAAGCAGCTATGCTTTGCTTGGGGTACTATGCCACATCCGCCTAAATGTTAATAATAAAGCGCAAGCATTTATACAGTGTCATGTTCCTATAACGCTACGAGATTGTGCAGCAGTAAGCTGTAGGGTATGGAGACGAATAAACGAACAGGCAATCAGGGTTCAAAAATACATCTTATCAAACCAAATACAAGGAAACAAAATAAGTTTATCGATCTACTTACCTTGATTTCAGTTCGTAGTTTGGGAATCTGTCTACTGATAAACTCAGAGAATGCATAAGGTCGCAAGCGTTGCAACCATGTATGTTCTAGATCCTCCAGTGTTCGCAGTGCGTGGTAATAGCGTCCTTCAGCAATACTTTGCCCGATCTTCAGATACTGTTCCAGCATAGGTAATGTCATGTTGAGAGCACTAATACATTCGTTAACATTCTCCAAAGTGACTTTGCAATTAGATAATGCGCTGCATGAGTCGGTGTACTAAATGAAGGGGTGAAAGAAAACTAAAGTAAAATGAGAACAAGTAGATCATGTTGCGAACAGAAAATTCAATTACAAACCCCTCTTCATAGTTATTATCGCTATTACCGGAAATAATGTAAAGAGTGGTGGGTAAACGATATTTTAAACCTCTGCAGAAACTACATAAAGGGATGTAAACTGCAAACACAGTTTGCCGAACCTCGCGGTACCAGCTGGGTAGTCCGGGTTTTTCCCATTCCAGGGTGTGGTGGGTTCCCGTCTAGCGAGCATTGTTCACATAAAGCCCCACATATGTCCTCTCAACAACACTGTGACGTGGCGGATGTGACTCGCCAATAAACAAAGTTATTGTTCCTTGCTTCACTCTGTTGGAGCCTTGTATACCAGCATCCTCCTGCTAAAATTATGGGGATGACTGGGCCCGGTCGGTAAACAATCAAACGAGGCGTATAAACTGAACAGTGGGTTACCAGCTTCTAAGAGATGGGATAACCTGAAAGTGCTCCGTTGCCCTGCTGGTAGGTTATTTAGCCAAAGGTCCGGGTTGATGTTCCTTGATACAAATTTCTACTTAGGCTTCGGCAACGGGGTGGCGGCATCTGACAAAACCAAGGCTTGCTCTGTGTCATGTTTGATTTTTCTAAGAGAACTGTAACTTCTACTGTTCCACGTGTTCTTTAATGGCTCCAAGTCTAATCGGAGCGTACAGGCTTAAGATGTTGCGAGGCAGCGCGCACTTACACTGGCACAAATCGGTAATTTTTGAACTACAAGCCAGAAGCTTGAACCATTCGGCCACCGGCCGGAGGCAGTTAAAGCATGGCAATTGGAGGGTTAGAATACTGTCCCTGGCATCGACCGTTGCAGTACAACTGGCCCGTATTCATCCCTGCTCTCGTCAATTAAAATACTTGCGAAATCTGCTGCAGGAGGTAGACCCAATTATTCGAGCAAGTACTGAAAGTAGAGGCTGTCCTAAGCAAAAGGCGAAAATACCGTCGTAGTGACGCTCGAGAAGGGTAATCGTAAAGTACATGATTAATACGGAATGAAGAAAGCATCAAAAGTACGCCGGCCCGCAATACTGACGCTTCAATCCTGCACAACCACCACCAATCGCGCGTGAGCTAGGGGTACTACGAGAATCGCCTGGTCCTTTGCACAGGTTCGAACCCGGGACCTCAGAAATGCAAGGCACGTTTGTGATCTCTAAGGCCAGGGGCTGGGAGTATCAGCTTGATGCTAGTTGCGGCGGTCAACATGCCACGCTATGGTCAGGGAATTCCAAATGGAAAACGAGACAGCAGGTTACAAGTTTGAACAAGTTGGAATTTTGTATGGCTTCGCTATGCTAGTGGGCGTTAGAGAATGGTCACGTTTACCACGAGACAATTTTAGTTGTATTCCGCCATTTAAAACGTGTTTAGCTGAGTAGATCTCACCGTTCTGCTGGATATACTTACATGGAAAACAAACTCGTAAAATTTAGGAGCAGCGGAAGTAAGCCGGGAAGCTTACCTGACGCTTTGCTGTCACGCAACCGCCACAGGCTGCGTGTGGGCCGGGTATTCGGCGAAGTCGTCCGCGCCTGCGCAAGCCCGAATCAGCAACTTTTTGATCGCAATACAGGCGCCTTATCCCTACGATCACCGACTGAACATCAAAGGTCACATCAGAATCTACGAGCTACTGGAGGCTATTTCAACATTAAACGGCGTCCGCTCAAGATGTCCAAGTTCTTCACTCCCCTTCCATTTTATAGTAAAAAGGCAACAGCAATACGTTCGTAATAAGTAATGTGTCAGCTGTACGCCGTAACGGCGCTTCGCTGCCGTGCGACCACCAACAGTCGCACGTGGGCTGAGTATAGCGCGAGGACGTCCACCCCTACGCGAATTCGAATCCGCGCCGCAAGATTGCGAGACAAGCTTGTTACCTCTAGACTACGGGCCGACAAAACGCCTGTATGATGTACCGAAGCTTCGCTACCATGCAGCCACCAGTGTTCGCGCGTGGGACCTCCAGATTACAATGCAGGCTTGTGATGCTTTCGGGCACTGGTCGGCAGTTTGTGGCAGACAACATCGGCGGGTGTTCTGAAATGGAATCGCAGGATGTACACAGTAAGGTGCTGCATGGTGGAATCTAAACGAGTTGAAAGGTGGCGATGAAATGGACTCGCGCAGGGGCACAAAAACCACTTGAAGCATTTCAACCCATTAGAGTGTGCTTAATATCCTAAAAATGCAAAAGGCATTTTCAAGGCCTGAAACGATCAACGACAAGTTACTAAAGATGGGCATTCAATGCACCTGTATTGGCAGCTGCATTTTCGTCGACAGGCGCGCAACTAGTAACGTTGGTATAATGACTGCAAAAGTTAGTAATGGCTTCACGAATCTGTAACTTCTATGGGGCCAGGATGGAATTTCCATACGGCTTCATGATTGTGGATTCGTGGCCATAGTAAGGGCCGTCCGTCCAAGTGCTAATAAGTTCGGCTGGTTCCAAAGGAAGAGCTCAGGCGCCTTCAGACTCTAATCCACTATTAATCCGCCTGTTTTCCGGATGCCTCCTAATCTTTCCAAAATTGCTAATTGCTCATTACTGTGTCATGCACAACGCACACAAAGTTTGATATCATATGTTCGTGTAGGACATATAGAATATTAGATTCCACAATTGATCCCCTTATCCCTCATCAGTAAAACAATTGACGATGTCAGTATTGTGTCAGTATTGCATTGCACTGGATGAAAATTGACTCAACTAAAAAGTTCGAATTAGCAATCAATCGGAACATTCACACCACTACCAGCAGTCAATAAAGCCGTACTTTTAAACAAACGTATGAGAAATAAGAGCAACCGGTCGAGTCCATCCTTCATGGTTTAACAGTAACAGAATACCAGTAATTTCAGCACCAATGTTAGCTATCCACTGAGTCTGAAACATGTAGTCTGAAGTCTGTGAGGGGTTTACAGTTACAAATGAATTTTAAATGTTGCTCTCCTCCAACGCCACACTTCAAAGCCGGTTTCGTGCTTATCTGAGTTCTTCAGAAAAATATTAGTGAGGTGGGTAGCGAAACTAAAATGTATATAATACCGCTTGACGCTATTACAGCGCGTCGTAGGCAACGCTTGATTCGACAGTTAATGACTCGGTCTCGCTTCAAGTACTCGCGTAAATGGCCCCATTCTTCTGCATTAGCGTTTCGGAAACACAATAAATCAACACCAAGAGAGCACAATATAGCAGTCTAAATTCTTGTTAAGCTGATAAATGGTATGAACAGCAAGGTAACATGGAAGCACTTCGCAGCTAGAAGACAGGTGAATTGTCATCGTAGGTTATGAAAGTGATGCAACTCAGGTAAACTCACGATGCATATGTAACGAAAGACACGCAATAAAGAGATACTTTGACGGAGCAAACTCCCGAAGGAGATATACCGAAAGATATTTGCTCAAAGGCTCTCAACCCGTCTTTGCCTCAATAATATTGTCCATAGGACAGTTGGATAAATAAGTCAGCTTAAGGAACTATACTAGAAGAATTCCGACAGAAAAATCTGGCAAAATGGAAGAGATAATCAGGACCTTGCGCCTAACAGTTCAAAGTACGGGTCAGTGGGTAAGAGGTCTAGTTTGAAAGCGCAACTGCAAAGCCTAGCAATGAACTGCTTGAGGCAGTGTACACTCTAATTTTATGTATTTTTCAACTATGGTGTGTGTGTGTGTGTGGGTAAAAGCATACTTCGTTGATGAAAGACCCCTAAGTTAAGTAGCAAGAAACCAAGGAGTTTGTTTGATTTCTCAGTGTAGCGACGTTACTTTATCAACTGAGCAGGACTTATGACCTTTGAGTAATTGTGATGGCCAAGAATGCATACGCATAATCACCAAACAAATGGGATCACAAGAATCAAACCAAAAAGCGCACGTCGTTTAAAACGTATCACTGAAAATTACAAAGCAACAAATGAAGAAACTCAATCCAGAATTTGACTGAGCACTGAAGTAATAAAGAATTATTTAAAGGCTATGGCTACTTTAGATACTAGTGAAGCTTGCTTTGTAGGCTGTTACGTGATGATAAACCGAGAAAGCGGATCTGAGCGGGGGCAGTCTCACCGACGTGTACGTGAATTATTCCAAGGATTAAAGTGCTTTCAATGAGCAATTCGATGTGTATAACGAAAGGAAGCGTGCAAAATATCATTATAACGTAGGAACAAACGCTAATGTGCGGCGGGGACTGCCAATGCAGGTCGCGTGGGTATTAATTGGTTGACTGTGGTGTGATTTGCTCGCGCTGATCTGACTCTCCTGGATTCTAGTTATTGCGGGCGAATAATACCCTAGATCGACGACGCGCCAAGGAAGGAAGGTTCACGGGGATTTATCCCACTGTTCCAGTCTCACTTGAACGTGAACTTGGAGTGAGTACACCACCCAGGCCAATTCAGACATTGAATAAGGATCACTCACCTGCTTCACAGCATACTCCAGTCTCGAGTCCAAATCACGTATGCTTTCTTGCATTTTGTTTGCACCATATTGTATTTCAATGAGTTCTCTGGTGGCATCAACGAATCCTTGGTAGTGATAAGCACATGTCTTTTGTATCTCTGAATTTCTTTCTGCAGCCCGGGCGTCTAAGGCAGATATATATCTAGCAACCAACTCCCCTGTTGGACCGCCGACACCCGCTTTATAGGCTGCAACTTCATGCTCCCTCAGTTTACGGATAACATTGGAAATTGATCCAGTACTGCCAGATTCAATTTCATCCAAAAGCAGGTTAAAATCCAATGATCCAGGTTCGGCATTGACCATGGAACAGGAACGAGCAAAAATAGAAAAATCACGGTAAAAACGGTATGGGTGGAACCGTAACGTGAAACTAGCAGGACGAGAGGAAATTGGGCCCGGGATGAAAGCCAGAGAAGAAAAAGGTGGTCATCTTGACAAGAAGGTCATGTCAAGGTTAGAAGGGTACAGGTCATGTTCCAAGGACGATAACTGTTATCGCTTAACTGTCGTTCTAGGTCAAGTAACAGCCAAAAAATCAGTGAATCAGGCGGGTTAAGGCTTTTTATTGGATCTAAATCTTACTGAGAAATATATAAAGCTAGAAAATGTATATTTTACACTTACGCGCATTTAAATTTAATTTCTCTGCGCGTCTTCTCGATCAGGCCCAGATTCAAGGAGGATACTGCCTTCGGCCTAACGAGTGTCCTGCTTCTTGTACTAGTAAGCTACTTAGAGCCCCTGACACTTCGAAGGCTGAGAGACTCTGCTTGCTTCTGCAAAGAGAAATGAAGCAAGAATACGAGCAATCGTCACATTTTCCTAAACCAACATCAACATTCACTGATCCTTTATCGTTGCTCTAAGGTTAGACGCAGTTACACAAGTATTGGAAAAGAGCTGGTCAGCACTTAATTAGTCCTCCTTTCAGGGTCGTTGCGTAGTGGTTATGATCACAATATCTTTCATCCTTGTTTTTATCATTTCCGTTACTGATCATTTAGTACCATTCGTTTAAATTCACAAATGTTTGAATACAACTTTCCACGCGCTCGCGTCGTGCTGCTTTCCTTATGCTGCTGCCTTTGCTTGTGCTGCTCCCACGTCTATGCACTAGTCGGATTTATATCTGCGAAGCTCTGGTCGGCATCGGACTAACATCGACCGAAGGAGAAACTAGAAGGCAAGTGTATTGACTTTGCTGCTATTTTGTGTTTTTGCCTATGATTGTCTTTTGTCCCCGCATTCGAACTCATTAGCTAACGGTCCTCTACATTAATTAGTGACCCCGTAATTTTTTAAAACCTTTTTTTTTCCTCATTATGTGTGATCAACCTCCTTGTGTACAGTTGCCTGAAAATTCGGTTACATTTTCTTTGACATCCTTCGATGTGTCGAATCTACGTGGTTGGTTTGTTCAAGCAGAATCTATCTTTCGTTTTCGTAAGATTACCTCCTAGTCTACAAAATATTTTTATGTTTCTGCCCATTTATCTACACATGTGGCTTCAGAAGTCATTGATATCCTCGAGCCTTTGCCGCCCGACTCAACCTATGATAAGCTAAAGGCAGCCATCTGAAAACGCATTACCTCATCCAACGAGTCCCGCCCTAACAGCTACTCTCTGGTGTCGAGACTGGTGATCGTACACCGTCTCAGCTGCTGCGACATATGCTATCCCTTGTCGGTTCAGCAAGCTTGGATGATTGCCTTCTTCGCCAACTCTGGCTTAAGTGTCTTCCAGCAAGCACGACGGCCATACTAGCTGTATGGGCTGAGGATATTCCACTGAATAAGCTTTCGGAAGCGGCCGACAGAGTACACGAAACGGCTTTAAAAATGCTGTGAATTATGTGGTTGAGGCGTCCACTACAAGCACCTCAGGGACTGCCACACTAGACTCCATAAGTGAGAGGCTCTCAAAGCTGGAACTCAGCATTTCTCACCTTATCTGCGCTAGAATACCGTACGAAAGATCCTCTTCCACATGTAGGCCACTCGGTAACTCCCGCAAACCAGCATCGAGCTCCTACTGCTGCTTCCATAACCGCTTTTGTAATGCTACACGTAAGTGCCGCCCAGAGTTTACTCACCCCAAGGCTTCCGTTTCTTCCAATTCGGGAAACGTCGAAGCCAGCCCGTAATGGCGACGGCTGCTGCTGGACAAATTATCAGCCGCCTCCCATACGTATTTGATTCCACGACCAAACTCCCCTTTTTGGTTAACACCGGCGCTGAGATAAGCGTTATATCCCGTTCCTTGGGAAACGCTAGTTACAGCCGGCTGGGATGACGCTGCAGACGGCTAACCAAACGAAGATCGCGACTTATGGCCAGAAACTTCCCACGCTCAGTCTGGGTCAACGTCGTAGCTTTCCTTTCATTTTTACAATTGCTGACGTACAAAATCCTATCATCGGTATCGGTTTTCTCAGCAACTTTGGCCTTGTAGTAGATCTACGTTGTGAGAAGTTACGTGACGCTACCACTTCGTTAACTGCTTTCGGCAAGCTTACTGCAGTTACTTCCATCGGACTTCGAGTTCATATGCTCGATAGTTCGCAGCGTCCTGCATTGTTGCAGAACTTTCCATCACTTGTCGAAGTAAATAACCACGCGACGGAACTCAGGCATGATGTGCAACATCACATCGTCACAACTGATCCACCTGTGACGGCGAAACCTCGACGACTAATCCCTGACAACCTACAGGCCGCTAAGAAATAGTTGGAGCACATGCTCAAGCTCGGGATCATCCAAAATTCAAGCAGTTCTCGGTCATCAGTGCACCTTGAGTTTAAGAAGACCGGTGATTGGCGCCCGTGTGACGTCTATCGTGCACTGAATAACGCGGCAGTTCCCGACAGATACCCAATCCCACATATCCCTGATTTTTCGTCAGTATTGTCTGCAAAGTCGATCTTCTCTAAGATTGACCTTGTCGGGGCGTATAACCAAATTCCCATGGCCCCGGAAGATATTGCATAAACGGCAGTGACCACCCCCTTTTGCTTGTATGAGTTTCTCCGTATGCCATACGGTCGCCGAAATGCCGCGCAATCTTTCCAACGTTTCATGGACCAAGTTCTCCGTGGACTCGACATTGGCTTTGTTTACACTGATGATGTTTTAGTTGCAAGTGCTTTTGATGATGAAGACTTAACACATCTACGAAAAGCTTTCGAACGTATCGAACATCATGGTATCACTATTAACCCTGGCCAATTCGTATTCGGCCAAACTTCTATCGACTTCCTGGATCACAGAATTGACGGCAGTGGGCGTAGCCCCTTGACTGATAAAACGCAAGCCATACTGGAGTACCCATTGCCACCATCCGTTAAGAGCTTCGCCGTTTTCTTGGCATGGTTAACTACTACATTCGGTTCATATATGGCTGCGCTGCAATTCTTCAAACTTTAACAGATTTTCTCAAAGGCAATGGCTAAAGGTTCACCTTCACTCTAGACGCCGAAGCGTCGTTTGACGCCGTCAAGCAAAAGCTGAGTCTAGCTACTTCACTTGCTTACTTGAGAACGGACAACTTGACTCACATTCTCAAGACAGACGCTTCACAATCCGCCGTTGGTGCCGTATTGCAGCAGCTCGTGGGTAGCGGAATTCAACCCTTGTCTTACTTCTCACGGAAGCGTCAACCGGCCCAGACCAGGTACAGTACGTTCGGCAGAGAGCTCCATGCCATATACCTGGCTGTAAAGCATTTGCGTCAACTCCTTAAGGGTGGACTTTTGTCATCTTGACTGATCATAAACCCCTTGGGTATGCTTTTCGTGCAACTTCTGAGACTCGATACCTTGAGTTTCTTTCCCAGTTTTGTGTTGGTATTCGCTGACTAGCCGAACAACCCCCCCGTAGTGCCAGCTGAGTGGTTCGGGTAAATCTCGTTCCAGCAAAAGGTTCGGCGGCAGTGTTCCAGGATGTAGTGGGAGTTCGCCTGGCAAGCCTTCTCCCTATAAAAACCACAGATATGCGGTTGACAACACTATGACGTAGCGGATGTGACTCGCCACCAAATAAAGTCACTGTCTCTGCTTTTTTCCGGAGGATAATTCACACATCACGATCGTCATCCGATTCCATGCGTTCCATTGCTTCCCCTGTGATGGTGAACCCAACGAATAAAAACACATACAGAGTCACATTAACCTAATCACACAACATGACTACTTCTAAATACAGACATAAACATACTTTACATGTCAACAGACACAGTCATAAGTATACTATTTGTAACAGTTTACTAATTTGTGCACTTGCCGAGCACACATGTCTGCATTACTACGATCACGCCCTTGATGGTGTGCCTCGCAATGACGAGAATAAACTATTTATTTATATTGATAGTCCTACCAACCTTGTCGCCGACGCATTATCTCGTGCTCATATTCATCATTTTTCACGCTCGCCCATTGATTTAGAGCAACTGTCTGTTGCCCAAGCCAGTGACCTTAATTTAACAGAGCTTAGACCGAACACTTCGTTAAAACTTGCAATTGGCCGCGCTCAATACTGATGCAAGCATCTACTGCGATATTTCCACCGGTGAACTTAGACCGTTTGTTCCACAGTCCTTGCCGCGAGCGGTCTTTAACCACCTTCATGGATTATCGCACTCCAGTATTCGATCTATTGTGAAGCTAACTACCGCCCGTTATATCTGGCCCAATACGCGCACAGATATCCGACAATGGACCAAAACCTGTCTTAGTTGTCAAACCAGCAAGGTTCACAGACAATCTGTTACAAGTCCTGGTAGCGTTTCACTCCCAGGAGCCGGTTTTAAACACATTCACCATGATGTAGTAGGACCCCTACCAGATTCCAACGGTTTCAATTTGTTGTTGACTTGCGTTGCTCGGTTTACTCGTTTTCCCCACGCAATTTCCTTACGTGATATATCCTCTGAAACTGCTGCTCATGCCTTCGTTGAATCGTCGGGTTTATTCTTCGGTATGCCAGCCGCTGTCACTACTGACGGAGGGACTCAATTCAGTTCCATCATTTTCCGTGACTTGAGTCGACTGCACGATTGTACTCATTTTCAGCCCACTGCCTATCACTCTGCTGCCAGTGGTCTTGTGGAAGGTTTTCATCAACAACTGAAAGCTATCATTACAGCTAGTACGCCTGATGCCCGTTGGTCTGCACGCCTTCCAGCTATTCCGCTTGTTATTAGCAATACTGTCAAAGAAGGTATCGCATGTTGCCCAGCCGAACTCGTCTTTGGCGCAACTTCAGACTCCCAGGCGAGATGATACTAGACTCACGAAGCACCGGCGTACTGAAATCTATGTCCTATGCCGAACGCCTAAAGCACCAATTTCGAGCCTATAAACCTACTTTACCTCAACTAAGCACGCGCGATCAGCATATCCATCCTGACTTACACACTTGTCCATTCGTTTTTATCCGAATCGATGCCGTTGGAAGACTC